GTCCAGCCACCTGATGAGTCGGTGAAACTCGACGAAACAGTCCATCACAGCCCTTGTTTTGCTGGATTATCACTTGCAGTATCATCAATTATGGGACTCTGCAGACTGTAGAGGGTCCAGCCACCTGATGAGTCGGTGAAACTCGACGAAACAGTCTGTCACAGCCCTTCTTTTGTTGTCCTCAAGTCCCTCTCCACCTACAGTCCACCAGGCAGTTCTCCACGAGGATGAATTTGGGAAAAAAGACTCAAACAGTACATATATCGTCATAGAAGATTGAAACAGTACGCTTGGTTGAGACATTTCCTGAAAAGTGTACTGTTTTAATGTACAAAAATCCTGGCATAGTTCATTTGCGATGCACATCTTGTTGAAATAAGCAGCAGGACGAGGAGGCAGGAGGGGTTATGGAAAACAGCACCAAAGGTCAGGGAGGAGGAGGGAGAGACTTCATTTCCGACACGCACCTTGTCGAAATAAGAGTCCAGACAAGGAACCCGTCGTCTTGTCATAATCAGCTGCCGCAGTGGAGGGGAAAGGCCGCATGCAGCAGTAAGTACGAGTACGATTGATTGATCATGGCATGCAAATTCAGTGTGACTGAAACATTACTTCTTCTTCTTCTTCTTCTTGTGGACTTTAGAGAGAGTATTGAACGCACTCCTCATCTCAAAGTACAGCTAGAATTTCACCACCATCCACTTCCGCATCCTCAGAGGCTGGGAAGGCATCAAGGAACATGGAGCATGGAGAGACGATCAAAACATACCCATCATCATTTACTTAGTAGCTGTCAGCAATGAACCAGGTTTAGCAGCAATGCACCAGGTTTAGCAGCAATGGCCCAGGTTTAGCAACAATGGACCATAATATCAGGTTCCGGAATCATGAATTAAACGAACATGGAGACTGCCAAAACATACCCATCATTTAGTAGCTGTCAGCAATGGAATAGGTTTTCATCAGCAGCAATGAACCATATTGTGAGGTTGAGAAACCATGCCCATGAATAAGCTACCGCACGTGGACAAGGTGATCAATTGGTAATAGACCAGGCCGTGGACTGGGCCAGGTTTGCAATGGACCAAGTTTGCAGGGACCAGGTGATGGTAATGGACCGATGGACCAGGTGCTGTAGGTTTGCCAACCAGGTTTAACGAGAATTGGGAGAACATACACAAATCCCCCGCCACCGCACCACTCGAAACAGGTTGCAGTCTGTGACAGGAGGGGCATGACCCACCGCTGCTATGTTCATGCTTGGAAAGAAATAATGTGGCCATTTTAATACAGCCAGCTCCGTATTTACCTAGCATGAACGTAGCATCAGTGAGGCTGAACCATGTCTATGGGAAGATGCATACGAATGCAACAAGGCCCTAGAGGCAAAAATGCTGAGGGGAAGCGGAAGGCTAGATAAGTGAAGGAGAAGTGTAGAAGGTGCCACGAGAAGGATAGCATCCACACACACACAGCCATGGAGACGAAGGGTGCACGCAAAAAACAGGCACTGATAATATTCAAATTTCCAAACGAAGCATGAAAACTGTGCCATGCATTTAGTTGAACTTCATTAATTTCCATGATTAATAATAAATAAAAAAAGTGGATGGGGCCGGCGGCATAGCTCAGTTCGCGGAGCTCAAAAGTTGCATTCAGGAGGTCGGGGGTTGAATTCCCCACGCCTTCCATTTGAATCCCCACGGCCTCCTGAGGCGCACTGCGGGTTCACCCCCTGAGATAGTCAGCTTGCCCCTCCTGGTTGGATGGGGGCGAATGGTCATTGTCCCTTTCATCCGTTGCCAGGAGTTGAGTCAATCCTAAGGGGATTGGCTCAACCCTGAGGGGATAGGTAGGCTGGAATAGATCAGGGAGGTAGACCCATAACCTTCCGCCTGAGGTAGATGCCTGTCAAATATATAAGCAGATAGGGAGGGTAGCTAGCAAAAGGTAGGAAGGCAGTGAAACGTGAAACTGAGAGAAGAATATAGCTTAATTGTCGAAAGAAAATCCTGTGGACTGAGTCGAGAGTGGGTACGGGAGGGAGAGGGAGAGGGAAAGGAAGAGGGAGAGGGAACGGGAGAGGAAGAGCGAGAGGGAATGGGAGAGGGAGAGGGAGAGGAAAGCAAGAGATCCCAGCAGAGACATGCCAATGCATACAATTATTTCATGCACTTAAGCAGGAACTTGAGAAACCAAGCTTGTAATACTTGAAGACAACAATAATCATCATCATAAATAAATAAACAAACCAAGTCTAATCAAATTAAGATCACTTAATGGACAGCCGGTATACTTAAGCGCCGGAGAACATATTTGAAACGCTTCGTCTAAAGTGCAAAAGGGGGAGAGAGGGGCAGGATGACTCGGTGGATGGGGGGGGAAAGAACACGAGGGGCTGCAGTTTGGGGAGGGAATGTTGAAGGGGAAGACAACTGTGTGCTTCTCCATCTGCGCCTTTTCCAAGATCGACTTTCCCGGTTTCTTTTTTTTTTTTTTTTTTCCTTTTCCTCTTTGAGTGTGTCGCTCGGGGATATCTTGTTACGTCCCGGAGAAATGAGCCTTGCCAATATTCTCTAAGCAATCTGATTCTGGCCAATTCCCTTCAGCCAGGGCTGTCCACACACAGCCCTGGACCACTGCCAGGGGTCCGAGGGTCCAGTGGTGGGCATGTCCAGGGGAGGGCACCCCCAACCCCGGCTCTGGACCCCCAGCCCGACCCCCCCCCAAAAAAAAACAAAAGAAATTGAAAAAAAACAACAACTGGGAGGTGTGCAGCGACGGCGCGCACGCCATGGCATAAAAACCCACAATACAAATTTTCCGCCACCTTGGGGGCCCGCGGGGGCAGTCGGTTGGGAATTTTTTTCAGCCCTGCGGAGTCCCGGTTTCCAAAAAAAAAAAAGGTTCCCCACATTATTCCTCGCGGGGATTGCAGGGAAGCGAAAAACAAAAAGCATAGATTTGCACCCCCGGGGACCCCCCCACTCCCGGGAGTCCGGGGATCAGGGTTCTCCACGTGAGGTTCCGGGGGATGATCGAGAACCCCGGCTTACCGCCCGGAGATCCCCGCGTGGCAACACTGCCTTCAGCCTTAAGCCACGAGTACATCCGGGGCATCTTTTGTACGAGGCGAATCCCCCCTGCACGCCAAGCTTTGCCGAAACGCCAGTGTGGCATTTTTTTATTTTTTTTTTGCCTGTTTCCGCCAGCCATTTTGGTTCGGTTGCCCCAAGCCTCCAAAATTGTAGGAGAGGCTCAATTGTGATTCTCAAGTTGGCTGGAACCAGGTACCGGTGGATGAAGGCAAACAGACAACACCTATTTTTTTTCTAGTCATCATGATGTTTAAGTTAACCACCAGTACTGGCCTTTCCGGGAGTACGCACCTGCCTGTGTCCAGTTAGATTCATTCATGGTAAAATGTGTTTAGACGCCTGCGGAATGACCTTTCAGTTGACATGTCATCCAGATAAGAAGGGTTCGATGAATTATTACCTCATGCTGGCCACATACTTGCAAAAACGTCATCATGTAAGTGGTCATAATTGCGGTGTGGGTACGATGCCACACTCGCAAGGTTATCAAACTTTATCCGACCGCAACAACAGGCACTACAGCCAAAAACGTCCTACCACTTTTTTTTGTTTTAAAATCACCAGTACGTTTCCCAGCCATTTTTCTACAATGGGGCTGCATGCATGTCGTGCCTGGCGGGATGTGCTCGGGTGCCGGTTCGTAGAAAACGCATCCAAGCGTATCGCATCACATGCAAGACACATTTTGCCTGGATGGATTTTTTTGCGGGGAGGCATTCCTATACATCCCACCACCCGCCAGATGCGGCATGCATGCAGCCGCGTTGTAGGAAAATGGCTGGGAAATGTACTGGTGGTTTTAATGTGGTCCAATGAACCATGGATCAGACATTAAACTGATCAGAACAGAATCAAAAGATACTACACTTGACCGATTTTTACTATTTATTAGCCAAAAGCTGGGCTACCAGACCCGCACGGGCCCGGCCGCCCGTCTGGGCAGCCTCGCCAGTGCGACTAGGATCCTCTTGCCCGGATGGAAAAAAAAAACAGCCAAAACCTAGGCTACCAGAGTGGCCCGGGACCACTTGCCCGGCCAGGCCAAAAAGTCATAAAAGATAAAAAAAATAAAAAATATTATTTTTTATGTTTATTTTTTTGAGGCAAAGAATTTCAATGTGAACCTGAGGCAAAAGTTGTTCAGTTTATTTTTCTGCATAACATAGTTTTATTTGCGTTTTTTTTTTTTTTTTTTTTTTTTTTGGCGCTAGGACCTTCCCTGGTCCTTGCACAGCTGGGCTGCCTGGTAAAATAGGGTGACCCATGTGGCCCGGCTGGTAGCCTAGGTGACTCAAAAATTCTTCTTTTTCTTTTCCCTGATGAGGGGGCATTTTTGTGCCCTCCAAGAGGGACCCAAATCCGGTCTTAGATTTTTTTTTTTTTGGTTCCTGCTAGGCCACCAGAGTGGCCCGGGTCCACTTGCCCGGTCGGGCCAAAAAGAAATTAAAAAAAAAAAAAAAAACTTTTTAATTAAAATTTTTATTTAAAATGGGTAACGAATTTCGATGTGATGCTGAGGCCAAGATGCAGTGCCACCAGCCTGGTTACACATCCTGCGAAGGGGGTTGGAAGTGCCTGATGGCGTGCCCTCCAAGAGGGACCCAAATCCGGTCTTAGATTTATTTATTTTTTGGTTCCTGCTAGGCTACCAGAGTGGCCCGGGTCCACTTGCCCGGCCGGGCCAAAAAGAAATTAAAAAAAAATATATATATACTTTTTAATTAAAAATTTTATTTAAAATGGGTAACGAATTTCGATGTGATGCTGAGGCAAAGATGCAGTGCCACCAGCCTGGTTACACATCCTGCGAAGGGGGTTGGAAGTGGCTGATGGCATGTGGTACAAACATAATGGTCAAGTTATTCCACAATATGTTTGGAGGAAGGAGACTTACTCTGAAGTGACAGACATTCCCTATTCGTGTTGGGAAGTCCAAGGCGATGCCTTTTCACTGGGAGAACCGTTGCAGTATGCAGAAGATGCAATACCTTTGCCTCCTCCGGAACAGTTGCAGCCTCTATGTGTCATTGAGCAAGAGCATAGCTATCAACCTTTTTGTTTACAGACTTTATCCTTCCATCTGCCAGTGGATCCCAGAGATTGGGCATGGCAGCAACCCCAGCATCCTGATAAACTGGTTTACCTATATGATTATACTACAAAATTGGGTTATCAAATGGCACGGCCACCAGTCGATGTGAATTGGGTGGCGACTCGGAGGTGGATGGCTACTGGATGGATAGCAGATTCTCTGCCAAGGCTATCTCAAGCACTTCCAGTTTTCTGGAAGCAGCTTATGGATTTGACCAACAGCAAACACACTAGTCTTCTGTGGTTGACGATGCATTTGGCTCTGCCAGTGGCTACTTGGTGTTCACATAGGACTGTGAACGCTGGCCCGCTGTGTACAATATGTCCAA